TGTCCAGTAACCTTTAATCGTGTTTATCCTGTATGTAGACGTTAAGTGTTGTTGGAACAGCATTGTTTCAAAAGGATGAACACACGTAAGCACTGTTTGCCTATTTATTAGAGTTACATACAATTTTAAACGTGGAACTTCGGAAAATCGAACACATTTATGCATTCTAGTACAATTATTGATATTTATTTATTTATTAATCCTATGGTGAAAGCGCTTGAATCCTCCTATTTTGGAACCCTTAAGGTCCATCGCCGTGTTTGCAGAAACCCTGAATCCAATTAACATTCCATTTTTCGTTTCTCGAAGATCAACTTTAATATTATCGTTTTATTTACGCTTATGTGTGATAAGAAATCTCTCCCATTTATGCTTTACTATTTAACGATGATATGTGAGCTGAAGGCCAAAATAACAAAGCAGACAGGATGTAAAAAATCAGCTGCATAATTAAAAAAACATTTTCTTTTTGGATAAACCTTACAATATTTTCTCTCTGAAAGAAATGGTTGAGAGGACAGATGTTTTAATGTAGTTTATATGTGTTCTTTTCGTTAGTAAATCAGAGAATACAGATCGACCATCTGCACGGTCTTATAACGTTATTTGTTTAGTAATAACAAAAGAAAGTCGTCCTTGTACTTGAAAGTGGAACGAACGTCTCTCTGCCAGTGTTTTGTTTCTTTGTACAGAAACGCAGTATGCGAATAAAACTCATTCTGATTCTCAGACGAAATTGTGAAACAAAACCGAAATGTCTTTGTTACAATTTTATTCTTTTGGAAATGTACCGTCGGTTAAAAAAACGTTAATAGATTCCTAAATAAAAATCCCGGAAATAAGAAAGTTGACGTGAGTTGTGGATGTAGAATCTATATAATGCGAAGTTTCGTGATACTTGCCATTTTGAATACAATTTTAAATGTTAAACTATCAAATAAGAGAAGTATATTTTTTACCGACATTATTAAATACTTAGATTATTCATGGCTTGCGTTTGTAAGCGAGAAAACTCGTTAATGACATTGACATTTTAACATATTCATTTTTGCATAAAATAATATTTAAATTAGATGTAACGTGGCTTTAACATTAATTTAAACCCTTTATTTATTTATTTATTTAATGGGGACTTAATTCATACTAATTGATATATTGATAATTAGTTATGATAGGTTGGTATGTTCTTAGTAATGGTTCATGTGTCTTCTACAGTGTATGTTAATAAACCCAAATGTTTCAAAAGATATATAAGTTTCACCATACGTTTAAGGTGTTTGTACATTTCTCACATGGGCATAATTTTTCACACTCAAAAAACACAAAATCTTGTCTTCGTATAGTGCAATTTACAAACAAACTACATGCAGTAGAATTCTTCTTTTTTAGCTGATAGTAGTTGATCTGTTCAAGATATTCAGTGAATTTTGTGGAACCTGGAAGTTCATTACCGTGTTCACAAAAGTCCGCTGTTGGTCTGTGTTTTGAGCGAAATGGATCAAGAATATACCTTCATAACACATTTAACGTGCATACATTTTAAATTTATCCTGATCCTAGATGTACCGTGAGTGCTACATGTTCTACCCACTTTATACTTCTTGATTTTATCACCCCTTGCATTTCCTGTAATTAAAATTTAAGGTGATTATTCCAGCTTTGGAATTTTCCGAATTTGCCCAGGCTATGGGATGTTGATACTCGGTAAAATTCGTAAGATGGCTCTGCGTACGTTCACATTGGTGAATCACGGTGGAAGGAGAGCGTTCTAAGCACGCTGCGAAATGGTCAGCCCACACAATGCGATGTTCACTAACTATAACCTAATTGGTGTTAGTTATATGCCCGTATTACCCTCTGTTCCCCTAACTAGACGCTAGTATTCCACCCGGTCGAACGTGGCTTGGGTGGGGATACGTACGTCACAGGCCACTTGCTTCAGAGCAGCAGTGGTACATGTACGAGCACGTAAAGTTTTGTCAATAAAGCGACATAACCACCATTATATCTGCTTGCTGTGTAGGACGTTTGGTCATTGAAAATATGAGACTAAAACTTCCTTCTATTTCGAGGATAAAAAGTGTCTGGTCGCAGATAACTTCTTATAAATTGATAATTATTAAAAAAACTATTGGTGTCGTGAATTTTTCGGTCCTGAAAGTTTAGTCATCGAAGGTCTAGTAGGCTTATATGTTGTTCCAAAAGATATTTATGGATGAGATTATAGATATTTATTAGACATAAATATTTTACATTGACAAATGTTTTGTTATTTTTCAGTCTTCATGTATTTTCCAAAATGCAATTTTATATTTGTCGTATATCTGTTACAAGACAGGACTTCAGTACGGTTTGTTAAAAAAAATTTATAATGTGTGGTTTATCAATGGGTTTACCAGGAAAGATACATTTTGATTGGCTAGAGACGAATCCGATGCTCATGTAAATAATGTTTAAGAATTCAATCCGTACTGCAAAGAAAACGCAACACTTTACTATTACAAAGATCTACTGATTAATACTGTTTAAATAACCTATATATTAGCTTTCTTTTCTGAGAATCACCTAAATCAAAAATTACTTTCTGAGAGTTACTGATTATTAAAGTTGGTGGTACATATTAAGTGGCTAAATGTTGCTAAATGATAAATATAACTAACTTTACTCCCAGACCAGCTAAGTGTCAGAATAGGGATGATCTCTGTGACAATGTGCTGCCGACTTGTGAGACCTAATCTAACCTAACCTTACTTCGAAATACGCATTTTAATATTATTCTCCAGTCTACGCCTAGTTTTTCCAAGTGGCATCTTCCGTTCGGTTTTAATGTTCAAAGGCTGACGTTTCATAACGACGTAGAGTTCTTGCTGTAATTGCAGTATAAATGTCATTCTGTAAATTCTACTACGTGTATGTTTTATGTTGAATTCTTGTCTGATGATCCATGATTCTTAACATAAAATAGGTACATATATTTATTTTCACAGTCTCTACACAAACTTATTTAAAATGATGTTGTTAAAATATTATAACATTTACAGTATAAAGTATATTATGTTATATTTATGGCGCTTTTTTTTATCGTAGTACGACATTACATTATTCAGCGCTTTTATTTTTGAACGACATGTTTCGATGTTTTATGACATCATCTTCAGGTTTATCAATTTATATTATTTTAAAAATTATTATACATTTTGATGCATTGCATTTATTGATCTTTTAGTATGTTTGTAGAATTTTCCGTCTTCATAATGATCTGGTGTCTGTATT